GGCGAGCCCAGCTGACATGCCTAGAAAAGAGTTGACGCACACCGTCGCTGTAAGCACGGCCAGCCAAGCCAGTGCAGCTGACCCGTTTGCGCCCTTCGAAACTTCTAACAGGAAGCAAGAAAACCTCTAACCTAGCCGGCGGAAACGACAAAGGCGCTATGCCCAGCCTGTCAAGAGAGCGCCCAAGAAGGACGGCAAAGGCAAAACTTTGCTCCTCTCCTGTTCTTCTTGCTGTTCTTTGCATTCTTCTTGTTCTTGCTCGCTTTTGCTCCTGCTGCAGGTGAGGTTGCTGTCGCTCCGTGTTATTGTTTTTGCTGCTGCTGGTGGTGCCGTTGCCGGTGCTGGTGCTGATACTGGTGCTGGNNNGGCGCTGGCGCTGCTGCTGCTGCTGCGGCTGCTGCTGCTGCTGCTGCCGCTGCTGTGCTGTTGCTGCTGCTGCTGCTGCTGCTGCTGCTGCTGCTGTGGGTTCTTTTGCTTGTTGGTTGTGGTTGCTGTTGGTTGTCGTCGTCGTCGGTGCTGCTGCTGCTGCTGCGGTTGCTGTTGCGGTTGCGGTTGCTGTGGCTGTTGGCTGTTGCTGTTGCTGTTGGTGCTGTTGTTGTTGTGGGTAACGGCTGTGTAGCGGATCCCACACCTTTCGCCTTGTCAGGCCTTTAAAACCCTGGCCTTGCCGCCGACAAACTCGGACTTGGAGGAGGCGGGGGGGGGGGTAATAGGCCCCTTCCAACTTTGTCGGTGGGAGCGGCGTTTTCGAGGTCAAAAACCAAAAAGACGTGGGATCCGTTACGCGGCCGCGACCTTGTTGTTGCTGTTGTTGTTGTGGTGGTGGTGGTGGTGGTGGTCGTCGTCGGTGTCATTGATGATGTTGTTGTTGTTGTCGTTTTTGCTGCTGCTCCTGCTGTTCCTGGTGCTGTTAGTGTTGCTTTTGCAGTTGTCGTTGCAGTTGCGGTTGTCGATGCCAACAAACGCCAGCTCGCTCCACCGCACAGGCGAACAACCGTTGCTCACCAGTGTTCGACAAGAGTCCGATGCTGTAAACAGTGGCTCAAAAATCTCAAACTTGCAAAACGTTAGGCCGTCTGTCCAGCCACATGTAAACAACTTGCTTGCGATGCTTCATCGGCTTGAAGTGGCAGAACATCATGCGCGCACAATCCGACAACACGACAGCCGGATCGCTTATCTTCCAATAATCTTTTTCTGTCTTCCGTACCGCTGTTCAAGTCAAAAAAAGCCAAAAGCCCACCCCTCCCTTGTTAGCAAAAGGCCTACGTGTGGTTTGGGTCGTTCTTCAGAGGCAGCTTGACGGTGCATTCAGATGACGGTAGTTGTGTCTAAATTAAATTCCGCAAAAAGCCCTACATTAACGAAGCCTTATGCCACCTTCTGAAAGCCCCCCGCGCCTGGGCTGATGCCATGGCCCCATGAGGGCCAGGATGTGGCGGATTCCCTTCACTCGGCTGCCGAACTCTTCGGCAAACTTGTGGAAGGGGACCACCTTCAGGGTTCAGGCTTTTTAGGGATTACTGCTCAAGGTTGGGGGTTTCAGGGCCGAATGCTTCGGTGAAGTGAAGGAGGTTGAAGCACATGACGACAGGCTGCAGTACGCAGGCATCCCCTGTCATGTTGCATATCATCATCTTCTTCATCATCATCGTCACCTGCACCATGTTAGTACTTCCCCAGTACTCCCTACAAGTACAACGTGCTCCCTGCGCCGCAAAGCTCCGCTCAGAGCCTTCCACCACCAGGACCAAGTTGAATGATGAATCATAGCTACGTCTGCAAACCAATGCATTTTACCACTAAGCCGGGCATGCAACGTGCAAGTGCAGACTCACCACTTTTACCGCAGCAAACTTGAAGAAGAAATTCCGATCCAGTCGTTCGGAACAAGATCGATGCACTCTGGCGTCGGGAGGATACTTCGCGGATTCACTTGCGAGGATCCTGCTCCGGCAACGTGCCGAACACCCATTAACTTTGGCATCATGGGAACGGCAAAGAAATTTGTCCTCGTAGGTACAGCCGGCATGGGAGCTTGAGAGCTGAGATGCGCTGAGCTGCGGCTGATTTCAACTCAGGGAGGGCAGCTCGCAAAGCGACACGGCGGCGTGTCATGAGTAAGCCGGTGATATGAAGGATCCTGGACCTCTGCAGAGCTTTGCTTTGCCGCATCGACTCAAGGAGTGCAGCACACTTGCAACACAATTGCTGGGATTTGACTCGTCTCGCGGGGTGGAACGCCGTTCCAAGGTCGCGGCACACTCTCACCGACCGTGGTGCTCCACCAGACAGTCAGTTCAAATACCTTGGGCTTGCCACGTGGCAGGCAAGCTTCCTCCGAAACATCCGTTGCTCCATTTCAAGCCAGCCGTCTGCACACAGGCCGTGAACCGAGACCAGCAAGGTGAGATGCCTTTGGTGGTCCCGCCTCGCACCGTTGGGGGTCGCGATGGAGGCTCCGCCTGTGCGCATTGGCGCTGCAGTGACTGCTGCTCGCGATGGCGGCACTCTCGCTCTCACAATGTTCCGCCTGACCGCTGTTGCTGCAAAGCCCCACTTCCAGCTGGCGAGCTTGCTGCCTGTGCCCATTTTTCGCCAAGGCAGGTTCCGTCCGATCCGGATGCAGAAGCGCGGCCCTTTCAAGAAACGGGACTACAACGACTACAAGTGCCACCTCGTGGGCGTTGGTGCTCGGCACGTCTTTCAGCTTGCGCATGGGCAGAAGCCAGCTCAAATGTTACCCAAACCTCCTGCTCAGCCACGCGGCGCTGGAGTCGACTCGTGCCCCTCTGTCACATTGCTGTGTGCATGTTAAGCTGTGCCCACCTCTTTGGCGACTCTGACCAGGAACCACAAGCTTTGTGTTCAAGCACGCAGCAAGCAAGTTGAGATGCCGGGGAGGGCCCTACCAGTACCTCGCGCCGATCCGCGTGTCGGTGCAGCTATTGGAGCTCGGGACGACCGGCAAGCATCAAGCGAGACCAGCAAGGTGAGCTGCCTTTGGTGGTCCCGCCTCGCACCGTTGGGGGTCGCGATGGAGGCTCCGCCTGTGCGCGTTGGCGCTGCAGTGACTGCTGCTCGCGATGGCGGCACTCTCGCTCTCACAATGTTCCGCCTGACCGCTGTTGCTGCAAAGCCCCACTTCCAGCTGGCGAGCTTGCTGCCAGTGCCCATTTTTCGCCAAGGCAGGTTCCGTCCGATCCGGATGCAGAAGCGCGGCCCCTTCAAGAAACGGGACTACAATGACTACAAGTGCCACCTTGTGGGCGTTGGTGCTCGGCACGTCTTTCAGCTTGCGCATTGGCAAACCGGCTCAAATGCTGCCCAGAATTCCTCACCCGGGCGCCGCAATGCCAGCGAGCCGATCTCACCTTCGGCTTGATGAATATATGCGGGCGGCATTGAGGCAGAACCTTCTACGCTGGGTGCCACTCTGAGGGCGGCCTTCCGAACCTTCGCAATGCCGCGAGCCGCTGTGACAAAGGACACGTCATTTTGTTTTGTTGAAAAGCTCGCCCAGCACTCATTGCAGAGCGCCGCGCCGACCACATGTAAGACGACAACATTTCGAGGGAAAAGCTATGTCCAAGGTTTCCAAGTTTACAGTTTACAGCTTAAAACCAATCTTTGCACTACAAGGCCCCGATGGCTTCCGCAGGGCAAAGAGCTGCCACCGCCCTGCCAACTGCTGCACTTCTCCCAGTACAGCTCATGGCCGCCTTCAGCTCTCGGAACCTATCCTGCCGGTTGTGATGCAAGTGTCGTACATAAGGACCGAGAGGCGGTGCAGTTGACGCAGGCAAACTGTTGCTCTTGCCATCTGGGAGGCTTGATGCTGTGTCTGCAAAGCTACCGCGGCGAATTCGAGCACACGCGGCAAGCCTCTATAAGCCTCGCGTGGCTTCCGTTGTTCCATCAACTTGAAGCTATTGAGGCGGGGAGCAGATCGCTTCTTATCTTGGACAGACCCCGACAGTCCCACAAAGGCCGAGAACTCGCGTGATTGCAGGGGAGAGTGCTGGTCCAGTGCTGGTGCCCTCCTTGAGCTCAAGCATGGAGTGGAGATTATTTCAGGTTGTTGACTTGGCATCCAGCAGGCAAAAGCTTGCGTTGCGCACGCTGGTCATACTGTAAGTTTGGAACCAGCATTGACATGGCAGTACTAGAAGCTTTGCCTTTCAAAGCCCTCGGCTCGGAGCAGCAAGCATTTCACTGTGACTCCCATGGTCGCGGACTACGTCAGGACCGATAACAAGAGATCTTCTTCAGGCTCCCGAAATGGATGACTCGATGTATCACGCACATCGCAGGGATTCAAGCGAAATCTTTCAGAGTCTCTTCGCCTTCGAAGTGCACCAAACACTTGAAGACCCAAGCACGAGGACCCCGAGCAATGAGCCCGGACAGCTAAGCCCAGACGGGAGAGGGCTGTAGACGGAAAGGGCCGCTGTGGGCCAGGAGACCAGGCTCGGCGGGGAGGGCCTCAACCCGGCCTTATCCGGCGGGGCGCGCGCGACGATCCGCAACGCATCTGCAGGCAGATGCTGGCGTCGGGCTTCTCGCAGAGAGCCCGTCATGTCCGTTTGCGAAGCAATGAGCTCACGGCTGCCTGTGGGTCGTTGCAGCATCCGCCAACGGCTGTGGGTAGAAGATCTCGCTGGACGATGGATTCATCACATCCTCGGTTGGGCAGGAACATGGGTACCAAAACGAGGCTTGTGCCTGTTTTTCACGCCTCATCACTTCGGGCCTGCTGACCGTTCCCAGCCTTCAGAGCAACTTTGGTCAAGCTGGGGTGCTTCATTGTGCAACCCTGCTTTGCTTGGAGATTCCGCAGCTCAGGTCACTCCAGCGCGAAATGGCGCCGCGAGACTCGAGCAGAGAATGCTCGCGAGGACGAGCAGCTGTGGCCGGCCGAGCATCAAGGCCATTGCCATGGCACCGGGGAGCCTCCCTTCTGCCATGGCTACTATTTCATATCGGGAGTGGCAAACAGAGACTCAGCCAAAGTGTTTCCCGTTCGCTGGTACGGTTGCCCTTTTGCTGCATCAGTCGGCTTCTTGCAGAAATCGGGCCATGAGACAAGAAATGTTGAAACTTGAAATCCTGGCGAGGCAAAACTCAGTCATGCCAGAAGCCATGCTTGAGTGCGATCTTTGAATGCCGTGGTGCAGTCTTTGCGTGAACGTGCCGCCGCCGATATGAACATGCCCATAGATCTTGCTTGTGCCGAGAATGTGCAGTTTCTCTTCTGGAAGCTGTTCCTGTTGTTGCTGCTGATGGTGAAGGGTGGTGGTGATGATAGTGTGACGGCAGTGATGATGAAGGGTCTTGCACTCTCATGTCCAGTTTTCTGTTGATCCCCGGGCCGCCTCGTTCTTCGCTCGAGCCTCCCGAACTCGATGTTGGTTGACGCAGAAAGCACATATCCAGACGTAGGTTCGATTCGGCTTGAGCATGCGGCTGGTGCAGAATTCCACCAAAGCGTCGACAATGTCAGCAATCGTGTAGTCCCAGGTGTAGCTCAGCATCTGCGTCGCTGAACCTTAGCTTGAGTAGCAGTCTCCTTAATGCCGCCGGAAAACACTCGAAGATTGTGAATTCCTTTTGGTAGGGCACTCAAAACGCCACAGCAATATCTGCCGATACAACGACGAAAAATGGTATGGAGACAAGGCGGTGCTGTCTTCACGGATGTGCTTGCTTTGGGACACAGGCCACATCTCCATACCCCACCTCCCATACATTGCGGCTTCTAATGCCCGCCGTCAACCTGGACATGTGGACAACTGATGATGCATGCCGTAACATACCCCGACCCGCAGTAGTAGCAGCCCGTCGCAGTAGCAACATTCGTGACATCGTCACAACTCACAACCTCATCCTGGTCCGCATCAGATTCAAAATCGCCATCGTCGGCATCACCGGCACAAGGACCATCACAATCATAACCATCATGATCATCATGTCCTCGATCATGGCAATGATGTCACCATCATCACTGACTTCGTCACCACTCCAGCCACCATCTCCATCATCATGAGTATAGTCATAGCCATAGTCACCAGCATCACCAGCACCACCATGACCACCGGCACCACCCACACGTCATCGCCATTGTCATCGCAAGTGTCGTCATCATCATCATCGGCCGCCCCCATCACCGTCGTCACCGCATCCAACCTGATTTGCAGCAAGAATCTGCCCACCACCACCCTCCTCCTCCCCCTCCTCATCCTTCTCCGCTTCCTCCCCATCATCACCACCATCCATGTCGTGAATTGTGCCAAAAGACCGACATAGTCTATGCCCGTGATGGTGTCGACATATGCACTTCCAAGTCGTCCGTCCACCGGGCAAGATAGGCCACACCCTGTTCCACGGATGACCCGCTCCTCGATCTCCCTGACAGGGGTAAGTGCAAGCCGGGCGACGAGACAGCGCCTAATTACAAATCAGACTTGGTTGAATTGATGCAGTGGCTGGAAGGAAGTTAACAGAAATGACAGGAACGGCTATACGCCCTCAGCGCTCCTGACCGTGCCATGCCGGTGGAAGCCTGCATCTTCCATCTGCTCGAGCAAGCCTGTCTTCAACCAGTGCCTCAATCTGCGCCGCTTTGGGACAGAGGAATTGTAATTTCTTCGGGCTTGCTGAGGCTTGCCTTCAATACTGTGACACAGCAGATGTGGTATCTATCATTTCGTCATACTTTACTAGTTACACAAAGTTACAGTATACGATGTAATGCTACATGTTGCGATGTAGTATTTCTGGTATCTTGTATTGTAATTTCAGCTCAACTTATCTTATCTTTCTTTGTCTTCATTATTGTTGTTCATCCCATGTTATCATGTACCACCCTCTACTTTTTATACTTCCTCTTATCATCTTGGTCTGTGATTTGCCGTGTTATCCTACTTCATATGGTATGATACTAAAACCTACAACTTAAGTAGATCGCATTATACTGTGTCTTACCATACCATGCCATACCATATCACATTGTCTGACATCGTACTGTATGGTATGACTTTGTGTATTATGACATACCATGCAATATCATACCGGAAGACATTTGGTCTAGCACATCATGTTGTATCTATATCGCAGCATAATGCTTGTTTCAAATCATATCGTACTTCTATTGTCTGCGAGATGGGGGTTTCCGAAAATAGGGCACCCTAATATTGTACCCTAAATAGTAGGATCCTTATTATAAGGACCCCAAAATAAGGTAACCCCCTAGTTTCGGAAACCCCCAGATAGGTATGCTACCGTGATGTACCATTCGTCCTTTCTGGTCCCGAGGCCGATGCACGCTCGGCGCGCGCAGCGGATCCGCCGGGTCAAGCGGTGACCTCTTCGCGGGCTGTGCTCTCTCTCTGTCTCTATGTGGGCACTTCTCTAAATTAGGATCCGTACTATTTGGGGACTTAGAAGGGACCCCAGTTTAGAGGACTACCCATATGTCTCTATGCGGTTTTCTTTTAGGACACTTTCGTCTCGTCAGCAGGAGATTCGCTAAGTCTCGAATGCCAAGCTGGCTGAGGTAGGCGGAGGCAAAAGGCAACTTGTGAAGATCTTTAGGGGTTGAAGGTTTAGGGGTTTAGGGTTCTCCTCCTAGGAAAGTTGACCAGACTTTTTCATGACCTTGAGTGGGAAGGCTTCTTGGACAGGAGCAGTGACATGACAAAGGCAAGTGCTGGCGATCACGCGCCTGCTGCCATTGGGTTCTGCACTGCCCGGGCAAACGCAGGTGCAGCGACGCGGTAACATCAGCTTCGAAGGATCTTCGGAGAGCGTGAATGTGCAGCTGCGCGTCTGTGCAATGACTCTGTCAGGCTGAAGGTCAAGGTTTCAATGCTACGGACGATGTAATGCTTGCTGGGAAGCTTTGCATCTTGTCTTGCGTAGACCCAACGCAGATGTCTGTAATTCAGGCTGGGCGGCTGCGAGAAGCATGACGCCCATAGCAAAAAGTGGTGCCAAGCATGCACCTGATATCTGCGTGCTTCATGTGACGGATCCGCCAGCTTATCAATCCACACCTCATCCAAGAGCCTGCTATTCGCAGCCGGTCTCGGCTGCGGTCTGGGCGGTGCCTCCAGGCTTAAAGCGGCTCCCGCTATCAATGCTAGCCAAAGTTGTACAAAGAGGCTCTTATGCCTTCTGACGCTTCCCAGCATGCTTGTGCATGGGTGTAAATGAGGCCTGCATGGCGAAGGCTTCACCGGAACCGCCCGGACCTGCAGCGAACAGGCCTGCCCTTACCGCATATCCCGAAGTGTGTAGGCCTTCTTGCCTCTGAATAGAGCCTCTTTGACTTGCAGCCCGACCAAACATGAAACGACCCAGGTGGCTGACGTTGAGGTGGCGGTGGCCGAGGCGGTTGGGTCACCTGGACCTGCAGGCGGAGTTGAGACAGGTCTCTGCTGATCACGACACGATGGACGTCGTTCGGAAACGGTCAACTTTCAAGTTTTCAAACACAGGCCGACAAACATATCATCCTGGCAGCTGCTACTTGTTGCTCTGTGCAATGGCCCTGAGCCGCAGGCGGTTCCACCGGCCGCTTCCTCGGCAGCACCTCCCATCGCATCGGATCTTCACCGAATTTCACTCCGTTTTCTATGACAGAGAATCACCCGGTGCCTAAACTTAAGGTCTGAGTCACGAGCTGCCCGCCCACTCGGGATCGTTGGAGCTGGCATGAACGTCCCTGGTGGGGAGGAAGCGCTGAGCTTTGCAAGCTTCTGAGGCCATCATCGGACCTCTCGCCTCTCACCCTCCGGTGCGGGTGGAGCCACCGGCGGAGGCAACGCTCCTTCCCAGCCGCCTGCGAAGCCGAAGCAGAACATCTGCGCGTGTTTGTGGAAGGAAGCTTTGGTGCTGCTAGGGCTGCCGTAGCTAAGATGAAAGGACCGCGACTAAAACTGACCAGACATAGCCCATGCAGGTAGATGCTTGAGCGAGCTACGGGTAATTACACTCTTACACAACTCTTCTGACGTGTGCTTGGCGTCAGCTTGCCAAAATCGATCGCATCAGTGGAGCGATCGGCCAGCAAACTGCAGGGCATAAACCAGGATGTCTGTTGTGGGTGCGTGTGTGCGTGCACGAGCGTGCGGGCGTGTGTGTGTGTGTGTGTGTGTGTTGTCGTGATTTAGTGTCCATCATATGCTACGACGCCTGCACTCGAGCAACTTCTCTTTCCACAGCCTGGCACGGGCGCCGGTGAAGCCAGAATCTCCTCGGGGGCCTTTCAGCGCGATGCGCAAACATCTCTGAGGAGCAGGTTATCACATTCCAGTGGCGGCCTCCGTCTCAGGCGCCCTCGGCGGCACGGAAGTCAGCTGAAGTTGTTGTGGCATTTGCATTCCACTTCTGCCGGGCACAGCGTACTGTCGCTTACCCTCCAAGGCCGGATGCTAAGGCTGCCACCCCGCATCGGTAGCGGAGCCAGGGAAGACCTAAAGCCAAGGAGTCGCGAGGGGATTATCAGAGAGTAGGGGCCCTAGGGGGCCTTAAACATGGTCTATCCAGCGGCTTAGGCGGCTTCTCTCCATGCTAAAAAGAGAGACCTCAAGTCTCAAGGCGCCCTTTTAAGGCAAGGCCCGGGCCCCAGCCGCCGAGTCCGGGTCGGGACATGCGCTAGGCTCCTCCAAGGATTCGGCCAGTGATTGCCTCAGACTGGGAAGTGAGGAGCCCGGATGAATGCGCCCCATTCGTCCCATGATGTTCTGAATAAGCCAGAGAGGTGCCAGCTGTAAGCTGCATGAGTTCTTGCCGGCGACCAATGAAGTTTGGAACAAAGTACTCTGTGAAGAGGTTCCTTAGAACATATGTAAGCACATCCCGGCCGCCACCCACTCAATGTCAAGCCGAAACCATAACCCCTAAACCCGGACTCCGTGAGACCGGTCCAGACCTTCAGTCCATCCCACTATCACGCGCTGAACGAGTTCTGGGTTCCGAGCTGCATCGCCAAGGCGAGTTGCTCATCCTGGACTTCTGGGATGTGAAGACCTAATGGTCCCACAACCCTGAATGGACAAAGCAAGTCCAAACTCAGCCCAGGCCCTCCTGAACCTCTTAAGTAAGGTTATACGTCCCCTAATTGGGGTTATAAGTCGTTACCTTAGTTATAACCCTATACTAAGTCCCATGAACCTCTAAGGCACGATGCAAACACCCCTTAAAGGCCTTGAGAACAAGAAGTCTCTTCGGTCCTCTCCGAGGTCGTAGACAGATTGGCCCACCTGAAAAGAACGAGGGGGTCTCTAAGAGGGATGCTAGAGGGATATTGAATGGGTTACTGTACAGAAAGGTACTGTGGCATACACAAAGGGTTACCATAATAAGGGATATGATTCGATCCGTAAGGGTAAGTAAGTAAAATTTAGGATCTGTGTAGGCAAAGACGTCAGAAACTGACTTGCTGCAGATCGACGGAGCACTCTAAGAGCCCAGCCTCATCTGCTTGCATCGCGCGGTGGGGGTTGAATGGCTAGGTGTCGCTTGGCATCATGACTTTGTGCCAAGGTCCCTTTTTGCCGACGGGCCAGAGCTCTAGGACTCCGCTTGGTGCAAAGAGAGCTGTGAAAGTGTGGAATCAGACAAATTGCTTTCTTCTGGTTCGTCTATCTTGCAAAACTCAGACTCTGTGTGTGTTCTGTAGTCCAGACTGGGCTACTTCAAGATTCGAACGCCTGGCATAAACTGCAAATCGCGGCGACACCAGCACATGAAATCAGGAATACACGCATGAAAGGGGGCGATGTATCTTGTTGTACATAGTCCCTTTGTGTGTTATGTCTGTATGTGTGTATGCACGTGTGCATGTATGTATGTATGTACGTATGTATGTATGCATGTGTGCTATGTATACATGTGACTGTATGTGCATACACATTTGCAGATGTTCCTCCAGCATCATTGGGTGAATGGCTGAATGGTATACATACATATATATATATATATATAAAAGAGAAGCAAGCGGTGGCTGAGAAATTGAAGACCATGTCCTATGAAGATGTGATAAACACAGACTAGGGGGTTCCCGGTTTGAGCTCAGCTCGGACTCCTTGCATTTTCACAAACGTTTCGTGCTCATGGCTTGGAGAAGGATGGCCTGGACGGCCAACATATCAGGAAAAGATGAATTCACAAATGCCTCAGGTGCAACACCAGTGTGAACACCTGGTAAACAATAGTATCCTCGAGCCGACTCCGCGGTTTCAAACCACGAAATCTTCTCTTGGAGCTTCAGCGCTGATTGATGGGATACTTCGCTTAGGGCTTTACAGCATTGCAGTCTGCGCTTGCTGGGGTTGTACACTCTGGCAAAGAGTGACACCACAAGTATGACGACGGATCTGATCTGGCTCAAGAGCATGTTGCTAGATACAGATAACTTCAACCCTACTCGTGATCAAGCTGGAACACCTGTCACGTTTGCTGCGGCGCTCCTTGGCTGAAGCACGATATCGAACGACATGGCCTTCTCTCCTGCTCAAGCCATGTTATCTGCAGCTCGTGCGGCTTGTCGATGCGCTTCATGATGCCAGCGATGACCTCAAAGATAGGTGGGTTTCACATACCAGAGTCATGACTATGCTTTGCCATCTACATCGTTGACTGCAGCGAATGACCACTTCGAGCCACTCCAGAATCTCGAAACCCAGTAACCCTGTGCCCCAAAGCCACTGCGAACCGTGCAACACCCTATCAAGACAGACACCATACAATACAAGTAACAGAAAGAACCCTAAACCCTAAAACCCTAAACTCTAAACCCTAAGGCACAAGCGAACTTCTCCCCCGGGGCCTTGCCCGGCCCACACTCGAAGCCACGCTCGAAGCTTCCAGATCCCGCTAGGTCCTCCCAGGAGAGAAAACCTCAAGTGACTTCTACCACTGTCGCCAGTATTGCTATTGCCACTTTTTCCATCATAACAATATTCATTCTGAGTACCATGATATGTATATATATATATATATGTGTGAATTATGAATGGTATGTACTGTTGTCAACTGCAGTGCAGACCGACTCAGAGTGCTGTCGCTTCAGCGAACTTTTTCAGAAGCAATCGCACGTTGCCTAAGAGGCCGTGCCGCCTCGTAGCAGTTGCACAACAGACGTCTGGCCCTGCTGTGTTGCACAAGAAAGCGCAGTCTGACCAAGGCAATTCATCAACTTGGCATCAGCCCGGCTGCGCAGCAGCAATCGTACGACCTCCACTCTGCCAGCATAAGAGGCTTGAATGAGCGCTGTCTGGCCGATCTTGTTGGATAAGAAGAGGGTCCCCTTTGTGGTGGCCATGTCCTTGCTCGCACCGGCCTCTAGAAGAATGCTGACAATGTCGGCATTGCCTCGACTAGATGCAAACATAAGCGCCGTCGCTCCGCAATGGTCAACAGCATCCACCTCCGCTCGTGACTTCAGAAGCAAGCGAGCTATCTCCGTGTGGCCACTCAGGGATACGCGAGTCAGAGGCGTCTGACCGTCAGACTTGCTCCTCAGGGCCACGTTGGCACGGGACCCTAGCAATAACCGAACGATTCCCACGTGCCCATGCTGAACAGCCTGCAAAAGGGCTGCTTCGTTTGACTCGCCGCCGGTGCATTCAGTGTCAGCTCCAGCCTCCAACAGCAAACGAACGAAGTCCATGCGCCCCTCTGCAGATGAGCGGGTGAGAGCTGTCCACCCCCGCAGGTTCGGTAAGTTGACATCAGCTCCCGCATCCAAGAGTAGAAGAGCAACTTCCACATGGCCATGTTTTGCGGCCACCAGGAGGGGTGTTTCGCCGATTTCATCTGCCAGGTCTGGATCCTGGGGTTTCTGGAGCATCCTCTGAACCTCGGACGTTCGTCCTCTGGCCACGGCGAAGCTGAAGTCATTCCTCTGCTTCAGAGATGCGGAACCGAAGCTCAGCAAGACCAACTGCAGATCGACAGGAAGTTCCAGCCGTGCTAGTTTCGTCTCGTCGTCCAAAACAGCCCCCCCATCATGCAGGAGCTGCTGCCGGAAGCTGGGGAGACCGCACAGGCCCTGCAAACTTTTCTTCAGCGCTCGTACATCGCTCATCTGCCGCATCACTTCTAGCGGAATGGCGGCCAGTTGGTTCCCAGACGTCTGCCACACGCGCAGCGTTGCGGTGCCAGAGTCAGAGACACACTCCATGCTTGACCTGCCACTGTTGCACTACCACCGCGACTACTCAAAATACCGTGCTTACTCCTACTTGTCCCACTACCTTGATGCTGCTGCTGCTGACGCTGCTGGTGATGCTGCAACAACAACGGCAACAACAACAACAACAACTACTACTACTACTACCACTACTACTCCTACAGCCACTTGCTATTGCTGCTGCTGCTTCTTGCTGCTGCTACTGCTACTACACTACGACTACTACTGCTGCTGCTACTGCTACTGCTCCTACGACGGACGGTCTGCATGTGCAAGCACACAGGCCCATGCATTGCTAAGGCTGTTCTTGCTACAAGTATCATCGTCATTGTCGTCGTCTTGTTCATCGCTGTTGTCGTTGTTCTTGTCATCATTAGGCCTGACCAATACCGTTCTCATGATTCTATTGTTGCAGTAGTTGCGCTGCATCTGCTTTTCCCTTCTCTCGCTGCCGTTGCAGCTTCTGTGTTAAGGCAATTACTACCAGCGTTTGTCATTCGAACCACGATTGTGGTTGGAACTGCATCTGGTACCATTGAAAGCTTAGTCAGAATGGTTACAGTCAAACCAACCAATCCAATCCCTTCATTTACTGGATGCTGTGCCGTCTCGACATGTTCGAACTCAGGACAACGAGGATCGGGAGATAGAGGCGCTGCTCCTTCATCTGCGTTTCCCACCTGATACTGCGGCTGATTCATAAGCCCGGGGATACCAGCAGCAACAAAGGCGTTGACCGTTAACCGCTTCCTCTTGCTCTTCTCGATCGGATGAAAATGATGGCTTACGCTTTGACTTTGCTGCTGGATGCAGCTGTGGTTTCAAAACTCACTTTCTAAACAAATCCTGAGGCCTTCGGGCACGAGTGCAACAAATCTCACGAACATCCACTTGCCATGAATTGCAGGGCTTAGCGCTTAGGTTTGAGTGACACTGAGTAACATTGCCTGAGGGTGAGTGACAGTGCATCAGAGTGCAGCGTGTGCGAGTATAACGACCCGAAGAGCGGCCCCGCTCCAATTGCACTACTCATCTGCCATTCATTGTGCTGACACAGTGCTGCAATTGAGCCGAGTTTCTGCACAGGCGCTGTGACCTGTTTCGCAAGTATGGCCTGCACCGACACGGGCGAACTTTGCATGCACCCTAGGCCCTAACCGCACCACTGCTGCAGATTCCAAAATGCCTTGATCATCTCTGGATCGGAGTGCGACCTGGGCATACGGATGCGGGCATACTTCGTAGCACATGAAACAAGTTACAACTAGAGTCTCCCCTCAGACAATGCCCAAACATGCACGCAACACATTCCAAACCTTCTAAAGCAGAACCCCTACGAAAATCCACGCAGAAACCCCCACGGGATCGGGCTTGGCATCGACATTGGACACCACAGGAATCCGGGGCTTCTTCAGGTCAACACCTGGCAGAAGTCTGCGTGTTGTGTTTTTTGATGCCATCCAGGTGCGATTTCATCGCGGAACGAGGTTGGTATAGTACCCTAAATAATAGGATCCTTATTGTAAGGACCCCAAAATAAGGTACCTTCTGAAACCAGCTGAGAGCTGGACTCGCCAGCACTTCCTCGAGCTTTGCCACGGCGGGAGCCTCTGCGACCAAGCACTAGGAAGGGCATATGGGAGTTTCCGAAAATTAGGGTACCTTATTTGGGGGTCCTTATAATAGGGATCCTATTATTTAGGGTACTATATTCGGGTCCCCTATTTTCGGAAACCCCCATATTGCACGGCCACGTCCTCCTCGTGTCTCGCCTGACACTCCTCGCTAGACTCCGATCGGGTGAGGACGAGCATGTCATATGCGGGTTTCTCCACAGTGCGGTCCTGTTTCAGGCTCCTCCTTAGTGAACTATGCTCAAGGTCGAACAGATACCTCAACTTGCAATCCTCTAAGTCATCCTGTCCTCGGACAGTGATGAGAGATCCGAGCACAAGCCAGATCAGGCTCGGGCCATGAAGTCTGTGTGGAAGGCCCCAGCGACCGCCAGGGGAACTGCCATCCTAGCCTGCGACAGCTTGTAGTCTTCTAGAGTGTTTTGACTACGAGTAGAGGGTTTTAAAGCATATCACGCCGCAAGTCTGACAAGACTACCGAAGCTTCAGTCAAGCCGTAAGTGGCACCTCGGCAGACAAGGGTCTCTCAGTGTGCAACTTCCATCATGACTCATGACAGACACCTGTCTGATGCGAACCAGGCAACTGCAAGAACGCTTGCAAAACCTGCCTTGAATTCTGGCTTGGCAATCTCGGCAAGCTTGGCGCATGCTTCCTTGTCGCCAGACACCTGCATTTGTCTTTGCAAGCCGCGCAGGCGTCACCCTAGCTTGCCGCCAGACGTGCAAGCCGATCGCCCGGCGAACATCGGCACTACATGCGCTTCATTGCACTTCGAAAGAGGCTTGATCCAGCACTTGCTGAGGTCGCAGCAGTATAGTTTCCCTTGCACAGATAATTGGCCACTTGAATCCTGAGCCGACGTGCAGCCAGTGTGAGGAGGATCCGCCAAACGCACCATGCGTTCAGCACGTTGTCGAATCCAGGTATTTCGGCGCAGCAGCATATCATCATGGGCTTCATCTACTCAGATCTAAACCCTACACCCTACACCCTAAAGTGTAAGCTATTGACATCAACGATCTTGTGCCCAGCAGCTTCTTGCCAGAATCCTCGGATGCTTTGGCACAGAGCGCTTCTGTCTTTTCAGCATCCAGACCTCAGTCAGGTTGGCCCATTGCTGGCATGTCATCAGATCACATGGCCTTCTAGGCCTCCCACCTATCACACTGACCATCCCGGACTCTACGGCGTCGGCAGCCGCCTGCATCGCCTCACCTGGGCGTGTTGGCTCCGTCTTACCACATACTGAAATTCGCTGATTCATCGTGGCGGATGCCTTATTCAATGCCTTCTTAGAGGGTCTGGGCTCAGAGCTGGAACAACCAGGATCGTCAGAATCTGAGCCGGGAACCACGAACCTTCGTGATTTTCACGCCGTCCTCGAAGCCTTAGCCCGCAGCTCCAAGGATGCACAACCCCACCCTCATCCTGGCCCCGCTACCATCCCGTCCCCAAGTCAGCTTTTTGTTGCCAGGCCGATTCATCCGTAGCACAGCTAACGGAGCACACTAAGCTATCAGCACAATGTAATCATTATGTAAGCCCTCTATCGATCGATCTATCTATCTGTCTAATGCACACATCTATCCATCGATTGAATCTATGATTCCGTCTAAGACATGATCTATCTGTCTATGTACCCATCCGTCCATTGATCTACGATATATCTACACTTACTTCTGCCTCTGCATGTTCCCATACATGGAGTAAGTATTTGTATGGTAGCTCTACTACACTCTAATGACTCCGCTTTCATGAACTGACAAGGATACCTGCAGCTCTCAGAGCTCCGAGTCGTGAGCGCCCTGTCACAGAGGTCGAAAGCTTATGCTGCAGTATACGTTAGTGAGGCTTAGGCTTAGGGTTTCTCAAGTGAGGGCTTCAGAAAAGTCGGAGTCCATGTTTAGGGTCTATGTTGAGATCCCCTCTTTTCCCAAGCCCAAGCTACGGTTGGGACATGAGATGTGGACTCTGTCTGGACACGGTAGGAACTCCGAGCATGGCGAGAACAAGGCGCGTCGGCCGTGGGAAGGACAGCCGAAGAGGTGCAGGGGAGCAGCCCCATCTGCGAGTTGCATGGAGTTGCACAAAGTCGGGATGATCTTCCAATCCGGCTTAGCACGTCGCAAACACGGGGGTGATTTAAACAGGGACACAGAGCCAGATCGATACCGAAGTGTCGATGCTTAGTTCCTCGTCACTGCTTCGATTCTGCGACAGACAGTGCAGCACATCCCAACCCCTTGCCCCAAAATCCTCGTGCTCGCCAAGTGCGCGGGCAAAGATGCCGCGCAGCGGCAGCTGAACGCCTGCCAGCCGCAGCCAAAGCTCACAGGCGAACCCCTGTAAAAGCTAGAACTGACGCCGACAAGTCCGGCCTACTTCTTCAATCTCGGGCCATGCATCCACGAGCTCCTGCAGTAACGCAGAGAAGCACCGCACCCTGCGTCCCTTCAGCCCTACAGCCCAAGCCAAAACCCTCAATTCCTTACTTCTTAAAGAAAAAGCACCAAACCCCAAAACCCTGAAAGCAAGAGAAAGCCTGAAGCCCCAAGCCATTCTCAGCACTCCTGAAAGCCGGCTTCTCCATCTTCATCGCGGTCGGCGAAGTGCAGGATCTGAGGAGGTCGGGCTGGCTTAGGATTCAGGGACGGTGTAGTCCGAAACCTGGAGTTTTGATGCTACCAAGCATTTTCCAATGCGAGGAAGCTGCGCCATCAATGGCTTCCTCGAGGAAGAAGAGCCCGCTCTCCCAGACCATTAGCTCTTGGAGGTCGATAGAGCCATCCTCGTTACCTCAAGAGAAGCAGAAAGTGAGTCCGGGAAGCACCAAGATTCCTCCCGAAAAGGGACAGCGATCTGTGCTGCTTGACCAACGCATGACGCATGCCCCATGCAATCTCAGAACAGAAGAACCTGGAAACAAGACAAGTTAGAACTCTGAGAAGAGTGACTATCCAGGGCGGCAAAGGTGACGTTGCGATCACGAGGATCTTCATCGTGGTCATGGTCGTCATCCGGCCGCAGGTAGTCATGCCAGAATTCCTGTGCAGGGCTTGTCTTACCAAGCCTGCCTTTGCTTGCATTGGATGGTGCTGCACCAGCCCAGAAAGCTGTAGGTCTCTGCCTTCAGCGAAAGCTTCCCATCCTGCAGGCAAGCGTGTTCTGAGCCCTGACCATGCCCTAACCTCTACTGTGCTTCAGTCTCTTCTAAGAAGCAGAGGTAGGGCAGGCAACCCTGGGCTTTGCCTTGTCCATATCTTTGACGGCGAGGACAGACTTCGCCTCTGCTTCTAAGACTTTCTCGTCAATGCCGTGGCCATACATGGCCACCAACTCCTCTTTCTTCGGTATTAGCTTGATTTCAAGCAAAGAGTGAGCCTTTTTCAGGCATTATAGGCTCAGTGATGTGAAGCAGCACTCACTGCCAAAGAGATGCATGTGCTAAGAAGACAGGTCTTGGCCGTCTCGTCTCCTCACCCTGCAGCTTTCCATCGCCATCGGCATCGGCAAGCTTGAATTTCTCCTGCGCAAACCCCGGTCAACCCCCGCTCAAAACTCCGGCAAAGTACACTTTCTTATCGACAAGTAAATATGCACAAGCAATTTGAGCAAAGCGGTCCCGTTCCAAATTTCGAACTCTCTCCAGCTCTTGAGGAAATTCTTCTATTTCCCACCTGGACAGTGCAAGGCATTGCGGCAAGATCACGCAAGATCATGAAGCAGAACGAGCCAACTCTAAACCTTGCATGCCGCACGCGCTCATGTCGTCCGGGCGACGTGGACATGTACTTCTCCAGCTCTTCCTTGCTTAGAGCGCCATCCTCAACAGGTGTTCTCCGACCATGGCTCTGCCATGCAAGGCTCTCTCCACACGCATATGCACTGGCCATGAAACCAACCCATGATAACACATGTATATGACATATGCATACACGTCTGCACACAACCATATATGTCCATGTATGTACGTATGCATGTATGTATGCATCTTCTCAGAGGCGATCTGTCCTTGTCAAGGTCGGCATTGGGATCTACCTTCGAATAGGTCTCCCGCTCAATTTCTTCCTTGTAGTGGGCCTCCGGGGCGAGTTTATACAAATACGGCCCTCTCTCACCTCCGAGGGCCAGACCGCGAAGTTGAAAAGCTCCTCGGTTCGACTGTGGATCTATATATTTATGGATGCATGCAGGTATCATATGAACGTAAATAAGTATAAGCATATATGGATACATCAGTATACTGATATACTGATAGGTGCCGTAGGTATAGATGCGGCTATTTATGCAGATACAGATATTATAGATATCGATTTAGATGGAAAAAAGACACTTTGACTATCGGGACAGATATTCAGATACGCAGATACAGACACAGATATAGAAATAGATCGATGTACCTCTTGGTTAAGTGTATGGACCGGTATCCTCCTCGCTTGGAGTGTATGCAGACGGCTGAGAGTTTGAGCTGTGGGTCATGGGCCACGGGGGCTATTCTAATTATTAAGGCGCTAATTATTAAGGACCCTAATATAGAACCCTATTATAGATCCCTTATAGAACCCTTTAAGGACTCAGGCTTCGATCCAAAAGGCCTGGACATGGAGAAAGGGAAGGCTAAGGCGGCAGGCAAGTTTCCGGTTTGGAGAGCTTCTGATCATCGTTGGCATCTGCTTGCAAGAAGATATACCTGAGCAGAGACCAATACTGCCTTGACCAAGATCATACCTGAACGCTAGGCCCTGAACCTTTGAAGCCTAAACGCCGCTCAATTTCAGACATGGAGCATTCCACAGGATTGGAAGCTGAAGTGCAAACTGGTTCGTCCAGGGTTTCGGGTTTCAGGGCTTGTAGGGATCAGGGTAGAGGTTGCAACTGTCCCTGTGACTCCAGTGGGCGCCTGTAGCGAGACGTTGCGTGACAACTGCATGCCATGGGAAAGGCACTCCGTTGCAGTGCAGGTGCCACAGATCTGGCTTTGTCATCTCGCTTGTGGGGGAAAGCCTCAGGTCCTTCAGCAGCAAACCGCACAAGCAACGAATTTCGCCAGCTTGCAATGTGTGTGTGTACTACAGCATTCCGTATCATCGCGCAGTTGAGTCATGCCTATGCAAACATGATACCTTGCGCTTGTACGGTGCCGTGTTGGTAGGCCTGTGCGCCCCGTGCATGCACCGAACATTTCCCACGCAACGGCCGGGTGTCTTGCAGTGTTGCCCGAGGGCCTTGTTGTTCGCTGAGGGTGTGGGCCCTGTGTGGGGTAGTATTGCAGGGTTCGCCTGCTTTTCCAACTGCGTGCCCTGGTGCACTTTGAGGGGTTTGTCATGCCTGCCCCCTGTGGCCCAGGGTGGACCCGCGCGCAATCCATTGAAGTATAAGCATGCGTGCTCGGTTTGGAAGGGTTTGATGAGACATTCAGCTTTGGGCCTCCCCACTGTCATGATATTCTCTTGTGGTGCGTGTGCTTTCGGCGAAGATAATAAACGTGACTACATGCCCACCGGACCCTCCGAATTATGCCTCCTGCCTCCTCTTCTTCGCCTTCTGTCTCCGTCGGCTGTGCCACTGGCACAGGCTGCGGCACGGGGACATTTGCCTCTGACACGGGTGGCAGTCGAAGGGGATGCACGCAACCCTTCTGGCGCTGAGTTTTCACAGAACTTCGCAGATGCTTCGTAGTTTAACTCTGCATGCAGCCTGCGAGCAGTTCAGCAGGCGAACCAGCTCTAAATTCCAGGCCTCCGCAGCAATCTGCAGCACTGTGAGAGGCAGCAGCCCACAGAAAAACCACATGAGCATGGCCCGCGCTGGCCAATGGCTAACCGCCAAGTGCTTCTGTGGTCTAAACGATGACGCTGGAGCTTCTGCGTGCTTCGACTCAGGTCTGCTTCTGCCGCAACCGTACACTGCTGCCAAAGGTTCGTATGTAAAGGTGGCATGGCTTTCTTGCGTCGCATGCTTGTCAGTCCTTGAGCGGCGAGATAATTAATCAGCCGGGGCCAGGAAGATCGGTTGTGGTCAACCGAGCACATTATACTAGAATACTTGACGATTCGATGATGCGCAGTTTCAGGATCTCTGCCTAGACATGCAAGTCTTCTAAAAATCAACACCACGCCGTACTATATCTGTGCAGGACATGGAACTTTTCTTCTGCCTCCCACCACACCCTACCACTACCACTACCACTAGAAAATGCCGGAGCTCGAACATACAAAGCAACGGCGACAAAAAACGATACCAATTCGGGCCAGCTGTTTGTTTGTAGTGCAGGCATCGATTCAGTTGGTTCTGCCGAGTGCGAGCCATCACTCCAGCTCTTGCGTGTTCGTGCCGAACATCGTCGGGAAGTAATCGTCGTCGTACTTGTAGTGGTTGCAGCAGGAGCCGCAACCGTCGCAGGAGCGCTGGCAGCAGCAGCGGCAGCATAGCAATAATAAATATACCAGTAGTTATACGAATAATAGTCGTAATGCTAGTTCTCGTCGCTGCGGTTGTTGTTGTAGTGGTCGTGATTTCTGAATTTCTGTATGTGCCATGCTTTCAATAGTCTTCTTCATGCAACGGTCGTACTCCCCCGAACGATATACAGGGAATCTCTGTCATGCGTGAATGTCGCTAGCCTGCTCCGAATGCATGCGATTTCTGCAAGTCTGTCTGAGGCGAGGGGCTCAGTGCTCCGGCAAAGCTCAAAGCACCTGCAGTCCCAGCACAGGAAAGAAATCAAACGTGCTTTGGCTTGCACGTCGAAGTTCCGTGGTAGATGGTGATGGTAATTAAGCGTCGAAGCAATCCATGCGAAGTTGCTTCCATACCTGGGGGTCGGGCTGTACTCCCCCAGCGACAGACCCATGGCCTTAGCTGACAATATCTTCACTTGTATCGGCTGAGAATTTAGGGTTTAGGGGTGCGTCGATCTGCCTGTCTACGTACCCATCTGGGCTGCCTTTTGACTTTCCTGCATGTTCTGTCAGTTTTGCAACGCTATCCGTCTGAGAGCATTACATTCTGTGACAGGGTTTTCTGCCGATGTTTGTCTTAATATGTTATGGATTTACGAACCCTGAACCCTGAATCGTTAACATACGAAATGTCAGCAATCAATGTCAAGTAAACACACGGCCTGACGAAAAATGAATAAAACACATACAGAACAAACCATGCACCACCACCAACAGCAACGACGACGACGACAACAACAACAAGAACAAGAAGAACAAGAACAAAGAACGAACAAAAACAGGAGCACCATCTCCACAACAACTTGTTGCTTTTGTCTCTTCTGCACGACTGGAAACAAAAGCTGGTGCCCCATATGTTGTTCTGACGGGAGGCCTGTCGTTCCCCTTCCCCCTTTTTTCTCTACAGGACTCGAGACAAAAGCTAGGAGTGGCTTGTCACGTGCTCAGAGCCACTAGATGATGGGCCTGCCGGAGATTTGTCAACTCTGGCTTGTCAGGCCGAGCCTCCGCTGGTGTTATGAGCTGAATCCCCACCCATCGAGGAAGGCTCGTAACTGAGGAATTGAAGTCCGCCGCTATGAGGAGTGTGCCCTGCGCTGGTATGCGCTGCACTCCACGGGCGAAGTGCCTCAATACCGCTGCCCTGTCTGCGTGATTGGCCTGGACAGTTTTGGAATGTTTTATGATGTTTTGGACCACACATGCTGATATGCCGTCATGGCGGTCTGGCTCCGTACCCGTCGAAGCGGACCTCCAAAACTCGGCCCTGGGCATGCTCCTGCCATCGCATGCTCTGCGGGTTGATGGTAGGAGATAGCAGAACCATGACCCTATCTGCCTTAGTCTTGGACGGGCCGGCAGACTTGGAGTCCTTAAACTTCCTAGGCCGAGCCCCCTTCGCCTTAGTTCTAGGCTTTGGTCCAGTTCGTGCCGATTGCCCTTCCGCATTGGGATTCCGGGGAAGCAGAGGAGACACAGTACCAGCTGGGAGAGGACGTAGAGGCCATCGCTGGCCCATAATCCCGAGAAGCAAACTCAGTTGTAACAAAACAGAGTCTGCCTACGCAGTGCAAGTGAAGCAAGGCCCGTCCAAAGCACCACAGCTCCATCACGCAGCCCCTAAAGGCAGACCAAAACTGTTCAGCTGAATGGGGTATCCAACGAAAACTACCAAGTACCAGACTCACACCCAAACCGAAACATATTCAACCAGAAGGTAAAGAGCACAGAGACAGACACAAAACAGGGACCAACACCAGAGGCAGGACGACCATAACAACAACGAGGTGACATGGGACAAGTCAGACGGAATACAAACTAGCAAAGTTTCGACTCAACAAATCAAACTCAGCAATACTGCCAAAAGAAAACGGGCGGTACCGTTCTCCTAATTCAAACAACCGGGCGGTACCGTCTGTACTCAAGCAGTCGGGCGGTACCGACTATTGTCTTCACGGCACACACACATATCTAATAGCATCCACACGCCTGAATCATCTTGAATCAACGTCACGCCGAATATGCAAGCAGAACTGACAGGACAAAACAAAAGCACCAAGACATAATCAAAACCCAAAATGCGAAGCCAGACTTCCAGACACCTTGTTATCTTAGAAACTCAACGCTCCAGACTGTTGCCTTTTGTTTTTGCAATCGCAGAATAGGCACACTTCAACGCCGCTTGGGGTCTCGCGCCGCGTCCACCGAAAGCCGCTGTTGTGCCCCCCTCTTGGAACCCAAGTGCGCCGGTGCCCCCCCCAGCACTTTGCCTCCCACCCTTTCATTGGCCTTTCCCTTTGAACCACTCCCGAACCTCCTCCGTTCCCCATGTTCAGAAACTTTTAACGACGAGTGTAAGGTACGAACGTTCCAGCTGCCCCAAAGGTATTTATGAGCCCTTCGCCAGTGTGTTACTTGCGATTTCAGCCCCTGTCCGGGCTTCAACCTAGGACGGAAGCAACCCACGGACTCGGTTCGGCTGTTGTGTCCTCGTGCGGTAGCAACAAGTTAAGTGTGAACGGGCTGCCAACCCGAACGCACTGTCGACAAGCAGCCTACCCGAGACTGAAGTCCTGGGACCTCCCGTATCTCAGTTCAGCATACCTGTCCTTGGCCTCCGTTGGCCCCTCCTTGTTTACATTGAAAGAACGACAAAACAAAAGGTAAGGCCAACTAAGTCCAAGGAGAGCTCACCCCGCCACCGCGGTGAGGTGGAGGTCCTTTGGCGGGGTACAGGCCTGCAGTCGTAAACTCCGCAGTCTCCTTCCGTCAGTTTCCTGCAGAACAAGAACGTCACAGGTCTGCAGGGCCTCTGTGTGCAACCATGATTTGACCTCCGACCATTGCTGTTGTACCAAATGCCCGGCATTCCAAGATAGCAGGCGTATTTCTCGCCTAGCAAGTCCCGCCCGAGGCCGAAGCTTTTTATGTGAAGGAAAAGGCGCTGAGGGCGGGCAGTTGCCCATCCGTCGGACCTGGGTAGGAGTGAGGACTTGGCCTCGGTACGGCACTGGCTGTTGCTTAGCAAAAGCAGTGCGACACGCATGCTTAGACGACTTTTTCCTCATCTGAGAATAATTTTGTGAGTGCACTGGCAGCAATGCCATCCGCTGCTTTGGTCACACAGCAGGAGATGCAAGTAAATGTGACTTCCTCCACCGCGCGGAAGGTGGAAACCCTGCGGCCTGCCCAGTATGCAGTGCCATAGTTAGGAAGCAAGGTCGGCACCCACAGCCTGTTCCGAAGCTTCCGCTAGCTGCACGGCCGTTTGATCCGTGGCGGCTACAACAACGACAAAAACAACAACAACAAACTATTTATGTATCCATCCATCCATCCATCCATCCATCCATCCCTATACACAAGTACGATCCGAGAGGATCCAGTTCATGCACCCAACTTCGAACGCTTAGGCCGGCACAACCGTGGCTTCGTCGATAGCAGCAGGGTCCTCCAGCCGAAGCTTTTCCACCGCGGCCTGGATTGTGTTTTTGCTAATGCGCGCCTTGATGACCACGGGTTTTTGGCAGGTTTTGCGGGTTACAGGCTTCCCTGGTTTGGGGGGTGGGGTGGGGGGGGGGG